TCATTTAATGTATTTGAAAAATTTTTAATTCAAGCACATTTAGTATTTGTTGAAATAATTTTAAATACTGTAATGAAAACTTCAAGTAATGGTTACTTCATTTTGAAAAAAGTTTTATTTAATTAATAAAGCCGTTATTTTTGTTTCAAATAAAATAGTATCTTTTCTTTTAAACAAAGAATACGACTTTGCCTAACTCTGCTTATAAGTAAAAAACTATAAATAAGAAACTGCCACCTTTTAATAACTTACAGAACACTAAGATATCATGTTTAACATCATCTGGATGGAAAAATAATCACAGTTGTCCTTCGTCCGGATATAATTTTTAGAATCAACAAGTATAAAATATCCTGGGGATATTAAATTTAATAAATATTATCATCTATTTTGTTAATAGGTTATACAATACCAATGTTTTGTAGGTCAATTTATGTAAGCAACTTAAATTTTTATTACCAAGTGAAGAATAGTACATCGCGCGCCTAGTGAGCAAAGTAACGAATGTCGCAGATTTCATATTAATAAATGTAGGGCATTTCTTAACCTCTCAACGTGGTGCATATACGATTTTACGTCTCATTTAGCTTGGTAAGTAAAAAAATCCCGCTTACGTAGCAGACAGTGATTTTTACTTACAGAGCACCAAGAACGTAATAATTATTTCTGATAGTAGAATTTTTTTATGTTTAGAAGTTCAATATACGATTAAATAATTTTGCTACCCCTTTCATTTATGTTTTGTAAAATGAATAGTTGTCTAAGTGCTATTTATTTTTTGGGGTATTATCAACTACAGTTTTACTTATAAAACATTATGCATGTATGTGTCCTTATCGTGCACAAGTATTAAAATGTGAAATCGTTGTTATTATACTCTTTAAAATTGATAAAGTTATTATAACTTTACATTTTACAGAACATAATTACAACAGTAGATATACGTCTATGTTATATTACATGTGAAACAGTAGTTTATACACTATTTAAAATCAATAAAATTCTTACTACTTTATAGTTTAAAGTATTTAGATTTTTTAATAATATCTTCAAAGAATTTTCAATAACTCTCGTATAGCATAAGCAACACGGACAATTTTTTGTTTATAAAATTTCTCCCATTGTTTTTTAATTATTTTTCATAATTTTCACTACCAAAAAAACAATAACTTCGTACTAATAGTACACGTTATAAACATATGGAGATATAAGTATAACTCGAACAAGAAGTCCGGTCTTGTGATTTGTACGCAAAGAGAGAGATAGAGAGAACTATTACACTAAGCTTCCTCTGTCTCCTTTTTGCTAATCAAACTTAATCAAAAAATAGATCAATAGTTAGGAAATAAACTATCATTAAAAATTTTTAATGAAACCTTTTGAAGAAAATTTAATACATCTTACCGTAAGACATCTAAAGTAAAATCTGTAACTGTCTTAAATCATTGCTTTTAATCAAAATATTATACTTGTCAAATTTCTAAATTCTTTATAAGGCTTTGAAACTCTACTATAGCATTTGATTTAATGTCAAAAAAATAAGTATATTCTAAACTTAAAATATCGTACATTAATTTTAAAAACTTTTAATTTTCGAATACACACCTTGGAAACTATGTTTTTTTATTAACGTACTAAAATTTAATTAAAAACCTTTGTTGGAAATATTCTGAGCTGCTTTATTAATGTAAGAATGTTATAATATCCAACGGTTTTTAATCGCAATTTTTGGAAATCAAGCTACGTATTTTTAATTTGTTTCAAGCATATTTAAATTAATGTTATCTCAATTTTCGTTACAGTGGTATTGGATTTCTGGGGTCCATATCGATAATGCTAACAGAATGCCCTTTGCAAACATGCTTGAATCATTTTAGCTTGTCAAGGGCATTTCACTCAGAAAGTAAAAAAAAAAAAAAAAATAACTGATGGGCTTAGTTATATACCTGATTATGGACTTAGATTGTACATATGATATAAGAGCTGATAGAAATCAAATGTATTGAGATACCTAAGACTCTGCAAAGCTTATCAGATAGATCTTCTGTTGTGACAAACTGAAGGTAAAGAAGAAAGCCATATGCGTTTACGAGACAGAACACATAGCAGCAGAGATTTTTACCCGGTAGATTACGAAGTTCCGGTAGTAGTAGGTATATCAAGAAGGTGGGTACAAGTAAGATCTCTGAGAGAAGAAGTCCAAGGCGGAGACTTTGAAAAACATAGCTGTCTATGCCTGAAATTGGATGCACACCTTGAATAACCGGTTCATCAAAGCAGAGTTGAATCAGGTGCTTGCCAGCCAGCTCAAATATACAGTAGTTATTATAGTCATGCATTACTCCACTTGCTGGCTGATATAGCGATCCGTTGCTTAGCACATAAAATCTGTCGTCAGCATTCTGGTCCGGCTCTAATGTAAAGCCGTCACCCCCATGACAAGGATCCCATGCAAACTGCCACATGTTACGCACTTTGAAGTTCCGCTCTGGTAACAAACTCTTTGGGTCGTAAATTGGCTCTATATCCAGACCATCCTCGAGATGTTTGACGCAGATGCCGTGCTTGCAGCACAAAGGCAGACACCCCCTCAGTTGACAGGGGCAGCCTAGTGGTCGGCCACTGAGCCAGTGCACTGCCTCTGAGGGATAAAACTCACCCCCAAGTTCTAAGGAACCGTTCCCAGTTTTACCTGGACTTAAATTAACCAAGGCTTCACTAGGGCAGTTAGTCTCGTTTGATCGCAAAAATCCGTTCACTGCATATCTTGAGTCATGTGGCAGCATTAGTAATACCAATAAGAGTAACAGTGTCAGCCAGCTGATTCGATATGGGCAGCTGCTGCCAGAGAAATAAACAAAGCAGTGTACCGTCATCCTGAGGTGCAAGTTATGGACGACTGAGTTCTAAAGGGAATGTTCAACTACTGCCACGGCTGTTGCTGCTTACTTTTTGTGTATACCTATGTAGGAGTGGCGCATATTGCCTCTTATGTCACTCGGTTAGCTAGTGTTATCATGCAGTGGGGAGGAAGCAGAACATAGGAAGAGAAATAAACAGGCAACCGAGCATCGGTGACTGTAGGCGTGGCAAGTAGTACGCACACACAGATATTAGCTGGTCACTTCATACGTGTTGGTTGGCACTTCTGTAATTATACTTTTTCAGTTCTTTATTTGTTTTCTCTTTCATAGCTTTTTTTCACATTAAATTATGGATTCTCTGTTACATTTGTTAGCAAGGATAACTTGTAACAACTATTATTACTGATGCTTTGTTACGCAGAATTACTTGTGTTCATTATACATCATTTTTTACACGGAATCGTAAGCAAACATGATTTTGTATTAATAATGAGTTATCATGCTTTTTGAGTGCGAATGTAATATTTACAATTCTAAATTCAACAACTAATTATACATAAAGCAGATTGCTGTTGATTTGGATTACCTCATCATTGAAATAAAATACCTAACATAACCTAAATTCAAACAGAAAAAGGTTTTTCTTCAATATTTTGCACCTTTTTGTTTCCCGGAATTCCAATGCTACATATTTTTTCTGTCGTAATTATTGGAATGATATAATAATGTTCAATTTCATAGCTTGTAATACACCATAAATATATTAAATATAAAAATTTTTTTTTTTTAATTTTTAAAAAAAATTTTTTTGATACATGAGAGAGGTCTATAATTAAACCAATTACAGAGTAAACTAAGAGAGAAGTTCTAGAATAACATATTATTTTTAATATTTAAACTATACCTAAGGAATAAGAGATATGGAACTACAAAAGATATTATTTCAATATTTAATATCTTTTGAAGCTGTACACACAAGTGTAAACAAAAAAGTATTCGGAAATAAGAGATTCCCCCAGGTCGTAGGTTTGTACCTCTATTTATTTAATGGAGCGTGTGTTGTATTAAAGTTAAAACCGTTAGCTAATTTGAGCTAGGTTTAGAGCAATTTGTGAAAGTTTTTGGAGTTTTAGACATTACCACAGGTGTTTGTTTACTACTATCAAGCACATGCTCTGCTAGTAGTTGCGTCTAGATACTAAGCTATGCCTTAGTGGTAACTTACAAGAATCTTTTTTCCGATTACTTTCTCAGTGATAAGAAACCATGCTAATTTTATCAACGAAGGCTTCTTTGTTTTTAATTCATTGCGAAAGTTGTTAATGAATGAGTGTGATGGAAAAGGTTAACCCAGCTGAAATAAAATGATGTAAATGAAGCCTTACTATTTAGAAATATTTATGAACAACATTGCAGAATTTTTCTTATCACTACAGTTATAAGAGCATAACTAAGATCTCTTATTTGACATGTATATCTATACATTACATCGATCAGAGTACACTGAAACGAAGTTTTGAGCAACACCAAGAGCAAGTGCTGTCTGGTATAGCTTTCGCAAACTTAGAGAAAAAGAGAGAGAGAGAGAGTGAGACGAAGCAGATGGTTCTGCATAGACTTCCATGTTTTTATAGTGTAAAAAAACCTGTAAGCCAAATGATGATAAAGTCAATATCATAAAAATTAACCTTGTCACAAAAATTAAAAAATGCAATGCCTGTGACAAAGGTAGGGTTATCGGTGACAAAATTTCAATAAGCATTACATTTTAAACTTTTTTTAAAGGCCTTAATTAGCCCCAGAAGCCTGCACAAAAGACTCGCATACTTGAGGAAAGAAAAGGGGAATCCGTGAAAAGAGGGATACGATCATAAAAGTGCAGATTATAATACGTAAAAAAACTGCAGTGGTTAAACGTGGAATCTAATTTAAAACATACTCTCTATTTGTTCATAATAACCAAATAAATTTTGATTTGTTGCTGAGCATGCTTTGCTTCAGCGTTCGAATAAAAATTAAGATTTAGTGCCGCTAGCTTTTGGTTCCGGAACACTAAAAGTATTCATCAGTAATCAGATCTTTGTTTATTTTTTAGAATAATCAGTTATACTATTTAAACGCTCTGCAAATGAGTATTGTAAGTGGTGATTTTTTATCTTTAAAAACAAGTTCTCAAGAAAATGAGTACAAACTATTATTCACATAGTATGGTCACTTACATTGACTAAGGTACAGGAGGGTATACTTTGACAGTTTTCAGAAGAAAAAACTAATACCCATTGTCTACGATAGAATATTACATCGTTGCAACGAAAAAAATCGTTATTACTATTAAACGACCTTTTTTATTGATTAAAAAAAAAGAATTATTGGTTTCACTCAAAAATAATTAAATAATCAATTTTGAAAGTTGTCGTCGTTTGCAGCTGGAGTCAGATACCCTATGATGAGGGTCCACAGGAGAAGAGGCAGAAGTTGAACGTGACGAGGCATTACTCAGACAGTAATAATAGGTAAATATCACTTTGATGAAGTAGTATGTTGTAAAGACTGTAACGCTGCTTGTAATTCGAGTAATAAAATGATTGCCACATGATATCGTTGTAAAAACTAAGTATTGTGATCACTTCTTCTGCAGTATAAGTCCTTGCGAACTTTTTATACCATAATTTAGTGAAACGACCCGCGCATTATGTACATTTAGTATATTTAACTACTGCCTAATACAAATCTCGATGTTATAGAATAGACTTAATCTTGGACAGTTCAGAAATAAAAATGAAGAAGAGTGACATACCAAATCATTCATTTATTTAATAATACTCAAGTTTCACAAAAAAAACTTCAATTACTTACCCTAATAATGACCAACTAAGTTCAAATATGTTTTTGATTTTTATCTGCTGTTATATACGTTTATTATTGTGCAATACAATTAAATGCTTGATCTAGCAACAAAGCAACGTTTCGACCGTTTGGACAACGTCCTGGCCCTTATCAGGTATAATAATCTATGAGTAATAAAAATCACTCATAGAAAAACACTAGGTTTTTGGAGCATGACTATTTAGTAAGTGTGTTTTAACAACTAAGTGTTTTTCTATGGGTAATTTATACTTAATTATGACGAAAGAGTAAGTGATAAAAAATTACCACATTGAAAAAACTAGTAGAAATTCTTTACAATACATATTTTAATAAAACACAATACTACATGCACGCAATGCAATCAAATAAGAATCGCAAGCAGTTCCTTGTGAGATGCACACAAACAGTACATGTGTTCCTTATACTACAAATGAAAGAGGCCCCCCAAATCATGTGCATCAAGTTAATCCTCTTTTCTAATTGACATAACAAGAGACTTATTAAAAATTTTTAATGTCTCTGTATCTTGTTGTCTATTAATATCATTATTAAAGTAATGTATATTTAACATTTCGGAAAAAAGTAATTTCGTTTTATGTCTAAAATTTTTAATGAATTAAAATTGAAGTTACATGCAAATTCTATTTTGTGTCGTAATAGTACAGCTCTATCCTTTTTTTCTATATGTCTCTTTTGTATTCTGCCATTATTAATTTTAGAGCTGTCGATATTTGACCGGCATAACAGTAGTTGCAATTTGCACGTGGTATGTTGTAAGCGACGCTTTATTCCTTCAAGTGTCTCAGGTACATCCTGAGAAAAAAATCGAATTTAACTTATTATTTAAACTGTATACTAGACCAATGTCAAGCTTAATACAATAATATTTAGTATGACTGTGCAAGTGGGAAATATACGGTAGTAAGAAAATTAGCTTTTTCTTATTATTATGAACTACAAAAGATATTATTTCAATATTTAATATCTTTTGAAGCTGTACACACAAGTGTAAACAAAAAAGTATTCGGAAATAAGAGATTCCCCCAGGTCGTAGGTTTGTACCTCTATTTATTTAATGGAGCGTGTGTTGTATTAAAGTTAAAACNTAATAAATTATTACTAAATAAAAACTCTCCTTAAAAATTGATTCTTACATTCGTAAATAAAACAACAAATATCTTAAAAAACATGAATATGATTGACAATCGCAATATTAATAATAATAAGCTAATCACATTCCACTACTGCACTACTAGAAAATTAAACTAACAATGTCTAAACGTATTCAGCTAAATCTACGAAAATGCTATGCCTTGCAGCAATTTTTTATGTACAAGCTACGGGCTAGAAATCATACTCACTTTTTAATACATAAGTACCATAAAGAGAGACTCATTAAATCCGTACACAATAACTCAGTCGATTTTCAAAACATCTTACATTTTTTAGTTGACAGATGAAAAATAAGAAAAATGAGGTCTTAAGTTAGAAGATGGAAAAAAATTGTGAAATTAAAGTCTTTAATTCGAACAAGAACTACTACTACCTCGTTGTCCTTGAAAAAGCTTGTTTGAGGAAACTTTAAAGTGGTTTGGGTGGTTGATACCGTAGGGTAGGGTGCCATAAGGGCCCTTAAAAAATCAACGCTTCTTGACGGTAAGGTTTTCAAAAAATATAGTTACTTCGATAAAACCGAAGTATAAGATTAAAAAAATGCCAGAAAAGTACCGTGAAATTATAATTGTAAAAATTGGGAGATGTTACGAGGCAAGCCATATGAATATTTCATACTTTTCTTCTGCTTTTCTTTTAAGTTAAGTAGTTGACTCTTTCTCTTTATGAATTAAATAGATTCTTTGTAAAAAAATACACAAAAACTATTTGAAATTTTTGAGGTTAATCAAAGATTTCCGAAGATAAAGTCAATTTTGTGGTCACTGTCCATAAAAGTAGGCGTTAAATTGGTAAATTTTGAGTAGCAATTTGCGAAAAAATTAAGTCGCTGACCCCAGTATTTTCTTGTCGCAAATAAACTTGGTATACTTTTACATTTAAATGATTCAAAAACTTCAGATGGTTTGATAAAGCTGATAAGAATTGCCCAAGCCACCTTAATCAGAACTTATTCTCTCGTAAATGTGTTGACTTTATTGATTTTGGTAAAATTAGAAG